CTTTAACTTAGTGGGTCTTTTCCAATTTCTACATTTATTGTTGAGTAGAGTAATTGTGACATCAGAAGGAAATCATCCAATCATGCTTTCTTCTTTTCTTTTAAAATTTCTTCTCATTTTCATTAGTCTTTTGCCCTTTCTCACTATCTGTCCTCTTTTCTATGTCTCATATCTTACCTGTTATACAAGATGTGGTATATTGTTTAATGTACTAACATTACAACATCTTGTTTCATGTTTGAAACTAAGGTTTGATAATTTAAGGGCCCAGAATCTTAGAAACACAAATCTGGAGTATCCTTTTTGTTACCAATTACAACCATCATGACATAAACCAGTCATTCTTTTGGAAAATGAATATTACTATCTGGATGACCATATCATGGGGGCTTATTATCTTTTCCCCAGTAATGCCACCTGTGACATCATTAATGGCATAATGTCTGTATCTATACAGTGAGCCTGTCATATAAAGGATAAGGCAACACTTTCAAACAAAACATGAAATTTATGACACAGCAGCTGGTAAGACTCTGGGTTTGACAAATATCTAGCCTTTTTATCATTGAGCTAATAAACATTATTCCTTTTTTGTTAAGACTTAGTAATTAAATCTTAGTTCTATAAGCAGAATTTACATATACTGGTTTATTAATACATATGTCACACTTTGTTTTGAACCTTGCGGTTGAAGGGCCTTTAACTTTAGAGTTACAAAGTTGCCTCTTCTATGATGTGGGGCAGGGGTGGGAGGGTTATACAAAAACTAATTAACTTGATTGGAGAAAATGATGATTTCTGTAATGTTAAAGGCTTACTGAATTATGAGAAGGTCAAACGTGTCAAATAGTTTTATTGAGAGACTAGTTTTCCTTTACTAAATATTTTTTATGCACTTTTAGCTTATAAAGGAAATTTGAAAAGGGTTAGCTGAAGTCCATCACATTGCTTTGTTTAGTGTGCTTGCAAAGTGCCAAGGTGGCAATAATTAGAAATGTAATACTAGAATAATTAATAATTTCTAATAATAATTAATAAGTTTCTAATAATTAGAAACTATATTTTGATAGCATCCATCTGTTATAAGCTTAACTAAAAAGGAATTCTGAATACCTATAGCTTCTGCATTAACAAAAGGCCAAAGACTTGTTGAACCAGCTAACTGGACGTTTTACAATGGATTGTCAAGATATAGATTGCAGACGATGCCTACTGAGGCACAGACAACGTTCTTACTTGAGGTAATAACTCCTCTTTCTTGGAACTCTTTACATTTAATTATTCAATATTTACCTTCTTGTTGTATTGTAGGTTTCATAAAGGTAAAGATCATATCCTCAGAATTTGTCACAGTGTGTGGCATGTTATAACCTCTCACTAAGTGCTGATAGAATGATGAATAATCTAATTTCAATTTGTCAATATTAATCAAACTGGCAAATTGTGATAAATAATGCATTGATTTCTTCTATTAGTCAAACTTCAAGTAGCTATAAAAATTGAGATAGGAGTATAGGAAAAAAAATTATGAATCACTTAGCCATTTCACTCATATAAGCTTCTACCTTCTCTTTCTCCCACAAGCCTTTCTTTCTTTCTTTTTTTTTT